TCAGTTTGTAGATCCTGCTTCAAGTGTGGCTGGCAAATCCTTTAAGTTGTCCCTACCTGAAGTGACTGGATTTCCAGATTTTCTCGTTGAAAGAACTAGGTTTGATGCTGCAATGGCAAGAAATTGGACACACAGGGATAAATGTAGGGTTTGGTGGAAAAACGAGGGTGACTTTGATGGGAGTTGGTGGGATGGTCGTATTCTGTGTGTTAAACCCAAGTCTTCTGAATTTCCAGACAGTCCATGGGAAAGATATACCATTCGATACAAGAATGACCCTCTGGAAACACATTTACATAGCCCTTGGGAGCTTTTTGATGCCGATACTGAATGGGAACAACCTCGTATTGATGATTCAAAGCGAAGTAAGCTTCTATCTGCCTTTGAAAAATTGCTGCAGTCAGGCAACAGAGATCAGGTATTAGGTTTAAAGTTCTTAATGCTGGGGTTTGGATACCTCTGGGATGCACGAATGCAAGTAGATTCATCCTTTTCTTTTCTTTTTGTTATGAATATCCAGGATCGATATGGGGTTCGAGAATTGAACAAAGTTTCAAGCAAGTCTAAATTTATGAACAGGTATGTTCATCTAACCTTTTAAAACCATACCCTTAGTTTGTCAACATTTTTACTCGAACATCTCTGGAAATTATGCAGGTTTCCTGTTCCTCTCACCCTTGAGTTAATACACTCAAGGTTGGAGAACAATTACTACCGGACTTTAGAGGCACTTGAGCATGATGTGACAGTTCTTCTATCTAATGCTTCTTCTTTCTTCGAAAAGGATGCAGAGCTCTCAGCGAAAATAAGACGCCTATCAGAATGGTTTACACGGACATTTTCATCTCTATAGCCCTTTGGTTGCTGCGGAGGTTGACCAACATTGAGGCTGATGCAGGCCCAGCTGTTCATTCCTCCCTGTGATTTTGTAGATAGATTATTTATCGTACCCTCGGAATAGTTTTTTTTTTTTTTTTTTCCCAAATTTTTTTCCCAGTGTTGGCAGAATTCTCTGGCGGTAAAGATAGGGAGCAACATGAGGAAAAAGTAGCAGTTTGCTGTGGAATAGTTCTGCAGCAAAATTCATTGTTGTACAGAGACATCATTGATTACAAATGAAAAGGCTTAACATGCAGAAATTCTGGTCCTTGTTTCCAGATTGGAGCTCTTTTTCCAAATTTTGATAACTTAGCCTTGACAAAAGGTGATAAATGCCATGTTAAACTATGGCATGGATGAAAGATCTGCTCTAGTTCTCTTAACATTTACAGACCTAGTTTCTCTTCTGTTCTTTCTCTATCCTACTCTAGTTCTCTCAAATCCATTATCTTGTGCAGCATCACAGGAGTTGTGCTTCAACGTTGCTTAATCATGCATTGAGTTTGTTATTCTTTGGAATTTGTATCTATCAAAATTGCAATAATTATTTTGTAATGACCTCCTCATCAAAGAGGAAACAAAACGACTTAGATTTCAAGTTCCACCTAATGACACATGCATGCTTAAGGAGTTAAGGCTTTATTTTTAATTTATTATATTATCTTTTACTTGATATTTCAGTTTGACTTCATTCCTTATCATTTTATCCATTTATTTTCAAAAAGTATTATTTTTAATGGTCATTTTAATTTACAATTTTTATTTCAAGTTTAAATTGGTTTACGTTTCAAATTTTGGGGGAAAATGGACTTAACGTTGAACGGTGAAATATAAGCAGAATTCAAATCTTTCACAATAAATTTAAATATAAAAAATCCTATAAAATTACAAAATTACTAGTTACATGTCTTTTGTTATAAAGTTGTCTACTAGATAGTTTTAAATGAATTCGTTTAATCCACAATTAAACAGTAACAATTACTTTCTCTATCTTATATAGGTTTTAATCGAATCTTAAATATTAATAAAAGTTTATTATTTAGTTAAAATTATATAAAATTACAATGATTTTTTAATTTTATTTCTAATAATATCACAATTAATATTATAATAGTTGTGGGTAAAGTACATAATTAATATCTTTTTCAGTTTTTAAGGCAAAAACAAAATTGTCTAATTATTCAAAAATATTATGACACTTTTATGTTTAAAAATAAAATAATCTTATACAAAGTATCTTATAGATAAGGTTATATGGAGTAATAATTATTCAGAATAATTTTATGATTTCATAAAATTTTTCTATATTTTGATTTTTTATGTTGAACGTGAGAGATTTTTCCTTGAGAAATATCTTCATGGGCATTATTGAGGCAGCCCCACGCACAGTCCAGAGTTGTTTAATCTGGTGTATCTGTTTAAATTTTGTTAGGGTATGTTTGGTTAGAAAGGAGGGGTAGATTTTAATGAAGGGAAAGAGAGGGAAGGAAATATATATATATATATATATATAAAAAGCAACTTTACCTTTATATAAGTAAATTTATTTTTTCCTGATAAAATATAGTTATGAATATTTTTAATATATAATTATAAGTATATAATTATCCATAGTTCGTATATATATAATTATATATTACCAATAATATATTCAATAATAATTTATTCAAAGTTTATAAACCAAAAGTAGAGTAAGCAGTAAGTTTATTAACATAAAATAGAAAAATAACAAAACATGCCCAAAAAAATAGAAAAATAGAAAAAATAAAAGGAGGGGAAAAATGATGGCGCAGGAGGAGAAATGCCACTTGAATAAAAGGACACATGATGGTAAAGAGATAGAGATATTTTTAAATTATCATATTATAATAGGGGTATATTAGTCCAATATAATAAAATTATATCCCTCCCCTTCTCATCCCCCCATTTTGAAGGGAAGGAGAGAAAAAATTTTAAAAAAATTTCTCTCTCCTCCCCTCCATTTTTACAAACCAAGCAAGGTCCAAATCAAACATACCTTTAATATACTTTCATAATATATATATATATATATATATACACACACACCTTTAAGTAAATATATATGCATATTGTTAATAATTATTTAATATATAAATAAGTCTATTCTTTTTTACAAATTTTTTTTTACGTGAATAGACTCCTCGTTTGAAAAGGGGCAAAAGATTTTTTTTTTTTTTTTAAACAAAACTTTTCTCATAATGTAATGGCTCTATACATCACATTATAAGATTCAACCTCAAACAATAGAAGTGGACTTTCCAAGTGCTTTATCTAGACATGCATCAACTTAAACTTTTAATTTGGGTAAAGTAATTGAAATAAACTTGCCTTTCTATGAAAAGTGATTCACTGAATGAAAAAGATCAACATCTCCCCTTTCAGGTGGAAATGAAATTTACCATACAAGTACACTATATTCTTGAAAGATTTGATTCAAGGTGAAACCTAGTTTGGGTAATGGAAGATTTGACATAGATTGCTCTTCCGAAGGAGTGGGTAACTGCGGTGGTGTTATTAGAGACAATAATGTTACTTCTTGGATTTATGATTTTAATGCTAATATTGACAACTATCCTGTTGTGTGTGTGTGTCAAAAGTGTGTGTGTCAAAGTCCTACATTGATTAAATGAAGGACTCTCCTAGTGTATATATACTAAGGAATGAAGTGGGCTAATAAAATGTACTTGGAGGAGAAGTGGCCTTGCGCACATGAGACAGGCTAACACAGGGCAATTGCAGTTGAAATCAACCAATTCACCCCCCTGTGTGTGAGTTCAAGAGGCAATGGGTTCCTTTTATCAGGTTATTTTTACAAAAATAATTAAATAAATAATTATTTTTAGCTTCCCCAAAAACCTTTTGGTTTGCTGTTTCGAATTTGACCTTAAAGCCTTGACAGTTTTTGGGCATTAAATCACTTTTGAAAATCATTTTTGTGGGTTAATGTCTTAAACATTTTTGTCTACCAATGTCTTCAGATTAACCGATTTTGTGAGTTAATATTTTAAACATTTTGTCTCCCCAATATTTCTAGACAAAGGCTTAACTGTGATTTATGTCTGCGTAAGCCTCCAGACAAGTGTTTAAACGTGATTTATGAGAGTATAATCAAAGTTTTAATCCGGTAATTATAGGCCAATGTTCATGTCTCCATCTTCTGGCTATATATAGCCATGGGTGCAGGCAAAGCAAGTGACCAGCCTCTTTAGTTTTTGGGGCAATTTTCTCCTCCCTCTACCTTCTGCTCTTGTGTTTGTCTGTTCATCTGTATTTGCTTTTTAATCTCTGTTGTTCTGTTTCCTTGCTCTGTAGGAAGTGCTTGTTTAATTTTGGGGAGCTGCTGGTCCGTCGAAGGTGTGCCGGAATAGTTCTTAAGGATAGTATCCTTCCAGGCACGACTCAAGCAGTTCACAGTTTGCCATTCATGTCTGTCGTCGGTGTCGCCAACATATCCACCTTCTATTACTGAAGTGCTTAGTATTACCTCTGATCTCCAATTATGTTGAGGAGAAAAAAATTTCACAGCACCCAAGTTTTTATTGACTGTGCTGAGACAATCAACCCGATAACTCATTATAATATTGATCTTTCTCTCTTCAAATTTATCACTAACCAGGCTAGATTATTGTTTTTTACGGATTGAAATGTTAGTTTGAATTTCATATATAGAAAGGCCAATTCTCATGCCCATTTATTAGCTACTCACACCTTGAATGGCCTTAGATACTTTGTTACATTTAACCAACCCCCACCTTTCTGTGCAAAGGTGTTGGATGATAAAAGGAGAGTGACTGAGAACTTTAGTTAGCTGTAATCTCTTTTGATTTAGTACTATTTTATTGAAAAAAAAAAAAAAAGATTTCATCCAACAATGAAAGAGTACATTATCTAGTGGTAAAGAATACAGGTGCTTATATACTTTAGCATGGAAAGGCAGAAAGCCCTGAGAAATACATTAACAACCTATTTAGGATGACGACGACTTTGCAGCTATCCCAAAGATATTTGAAACTCCCACAAGAAGTTTGAGATTCCTCTACTCCTTAAGGATCTCACAAGCGACAAGGCAGACAGCAATTAAAAATAATAAATACTGAGAATTGAGAAAGAACAAATCTAGCTTCTTATGATCTTTAAGAATCTTACAATCACAACGCAGAAAGCAACAAAAATTAAATGACAGGAAAGATAAATATATAGTTTCTGATCATCTTCAAGATAACATGATTTAGTTTTGGGAACACCAGCTTATGTATTTACCCAAACCACAACACGCACGATGTTTTAGTTTTGGGATCCTAATCATCACCAATGCCATTCCACATATTCTTCAAACATCTTCAGTGCCTTCTACCATGTCTGCGCTTTCTCCTGCTCCCTCTATCACCAGAATCAGAATCTGAATCAGAATCAGAAGATTCTGATGATGTGCTATACCTTCTTCTCCTTCCCCTCTTCTGTGGCTTCTTCCTCCTCCTTCGCCTCCGTTCTTCCTCTGAATCAGATGATGAGCTATAACCTGAACTACTTTCTGAAGTATAATCTGACCCTGTAACTGAAGATGACTCACTATCAGTCTCAAAAACTGAATCCTCACTACCACTTTGAGAATCAGAATCTGACCGATGCTTTCTTTTGCTTTTCTTAGAAGAGCTCTTTCCAACCTTTTCCTCCTTGGTAACAGGACTATCATCTAAATCATATGTCACAGAAACATTAACCCTTAATTTAGGATTTTTAAGTTGCTGCGTCCTGGATGGTCGTGAGATGTAAACCCGCTCATTCTTGCATTCATATGTCCAGTGACCACTTTGGAAACACTTTTGGCATTGTGCGGTGCTACCAACAGTTGACATGGTAGGTTTAAGGTCTTTTCTTTCACCCAATTTAACAGCTTTCTCAGTACTCATCAAATACATTTGCCTCTTTGCTTCCCTTTTCTCCTGCCATCTGCTAGGTCCCTCTTCCTTTTGACCATAAGCATTCACATTCCTGGCTGCTGCAGCTGCTGCACGTTCAGCCTGAGCACGACTAAGACCCTTAGCAGCACTTAAGGCCGCAGCCTTGATTCTTTCAGCTGCAGCCTGAGCTTTCTCTTCCTTCTTACTTGACATCTTGTATGCCCTTATGTGTATCACAACGGACAATTGCACCAAACTTCACTGCAAAGTAAGTTGAAATATATTCAAGACGACCAATCCTCAGACCACTGATTTTATATCAGTTCAATCATTGAAATATATCAATTATCAAATGATATAACAAATCAAACAAAATTTTAAAGACAAAACCCCCAGGTGCAGTACCTGAACTGATATTGTAGAGAAATTTCCAAAAGTTAGTTCGTTAATAACATTAACACGACAAATAGTTTTTAAAACCCCTTTCACAATACCCGTTCACAATAAGAGTTTTACGACCTGAACCTTACATACGCCGCTAGATGCAGTGATTCATATAGATTAGTATAGTATAGTCTCTTCTTCAAACATTTACAAGCAGTTTCCTCATCAATATCTCTCAATTTATTGGGGAGAAAAAAATCAAATAACGCGATTATATCGCTACTTTATATTCTCGTTACCGTTCCTCTCACATTCTCTTCAACTACCCACAAATTTCTTTACTCCAAAATTACCCCCGCGGGGAATCTCGAATAATTGTAGACAAAGACCAAAACTTTAAAACGGAAATTTCAGATTGTTTCCAGAAATCAAACGAAAAACAGCATGAACATCAGGAAACTATAACCAAAATTCAAACTTATAACCAGTACAAAAGCACGAAATAAACATATATAAGCAAGAAATTCACAAGGCAATCATCTAATCGGCATTTGAAAACCAAGATCCAAAAACGAATTATTTCTTAAGAAGGACTTACAGGCCTAGACGATGGGGGAAAAGATACGAAAATTGAAAGACCCAGAGAGCGAGATCATAGATGCTTGGAGCTTCAAGGAGCCTTGTGTTTCGAAGTCGGTGGCGGCGAGAAATCACAAAATGTCCTCCAATTGAACCCGAATTACACCAGAGGAGGAGGTCAGATGGCTATGGAAATGGAGGGTTAAGAATTATAAATGCAGAAATCAATAAAGATAAGACTAAAAAACGAATATAATGATAATGTTATATTTATAAGGAAAACTTATATATTTAATCTAATATATTTAATATATTTTTATTCTATTAAATAAGTAAATTTAATATATTGTTAATTTCAATAATAAAATTTATGTGGCCAACAAATAAAATTTATTATATAATAAGTAATCGATAAAAAATTACATATATTTTTTTGATAGGACGGAAAAATATTAATTGCCTATATTTATATCTTCTTATTTAATTTTTTTAGAAAAAAATTATAAATATTTAAATTAACAAAGAACGCGGAAAAAAAAATAACATGATAATCTCATCTCTTCTTATATTTAGGTAGAGTTTCTTGTTTAATTTTTGCTAAAAATATCTTGAAAATTAAATTAAAATTAAAATTCAGACAATGAAAATATAAAATTATAGTTAAATTAAAGTAAAATCATTCTACTATTCTATTTTAAAATCAAAATAAAAATACTTCTGTAATATTATGAGTTAGGTTATTCAAGTGTAAACTTGAGTTGATGAGATTTGAATTCCTTTTACTGTTTTATGAACAAGAGCTGGACCATTTAGATTTAATTTGTACAATCTTGATTTAATGTTTTAAATTTCCTTTTCATTTATTTAAATAAAAAATTTATAAAAATTATTAGAAAATTTAATAAATCTTAGGAGTCAGTTGTAGTTGTTAAATAAAAAGGAGTAAAAAGTGTACAGAGAAGAGGCAAGAGTTTGAAATGGAAGGGGTTGCTGCTGCTGTTGTTAAAAAGAGCAAAAAGTGTACAGAGGAGAGGCAAGAAGAGTTTGAGATGGGAGGAGAAATAAAAATATATATTTATTGTTTAGTCAATGCAAAAATTTGATAAAAAAATTCACATTAATACAATTTAATATTATTTTTGGGTAGTAAAAAATCTTATTAAGTGTTATTTATTCTCTAAAAAATGAAGTGGATGAAACACATTCTTTTACAATATTATTCTTATAAAAGGTTGAAATATAAATTTATAAATAATTTATAAATTTTTATTTAATTTAAATATTAGTTTTTTGTTATTTTTTATGAATTTATTTTGTGATATATGTGTATATATATTATTTATAAATATTAAATTAATTATATTCGGTTAGACTATGGTCACATTATTAATCCTTAAACCAGTATCTCGTCTACTTCAATGACTGATCTGATTTTTAAAACTTTAAATAAATATGATAACTAATTGGAACAGTTTAGGCTTAATATTATATTACCAAAATAAAAAAAATTATAGAAATTATATAAAAAAGTTAATAGTAAATTGGGAGAATTATTGCCAAAATCCCTTAGAAGCATTTTAATTATTGAAAAGTCACACCAAATAAATAAATAATTGTAAGGACCTAAAGTTCTTCATTATAAATAAGACTGGGGATTCATTTACCAAATTGCCCACCACTTTTTTAGCCAATTGTTTTTTCATCAGCCGTGTCTCTCTTTTCTTGTCTTTTGTTATTGCCATCGAAGCATAGCCATCTAATGGTACATGAGGGTGCACCTTTTTCGGTTTGAACAACACATGCAATAGGGATCACGATGAACTGAGATCAGACTTATACATATTGGATAACACCTTAAAAGCCATTGATGCAAAGTGAGGGAGTGGAAGCAACGAAGGTAGCAATAAAAAAGCATATTAACAATGGCGGACGCATATGTGAATAACTTAAGGACGAGGAAGACCATGCCACAAGATGGTAAAGCCATGGGAAAGATTGTGATGAGAGGAAGCAAGATAATGAAGGGCTATTATAAGGACCCTCAAATTTCCTCAATAGCTTTCAAAAATGGCTGGTTTTAGACCAATGATGTTAGGGTGATACATCGAGATGAGTATGCGGAGATCAAGGGTAGGTTAAAGGACATGATTATATCCGATAGAGAGAACATCAGCAGTATAGAGGTTGAGGTGTGCTGCACAAGCATCCAGTAGTGGCAGTAATGCCTCACCCACAGTAGGGGGAGAGTTCGTGTGCATTTGTGGCGTTAAAGAAGATGTCAGAAAAGGTTGTAGATGAAGGAGAGATCGTAGGTCATTGTTGGAAGAAGTTGCCATCTTTTATAGTGTCGAATATGGTGAAGTTGATAGAGGAGCTACTGAAGATGTCAACGGAGGAAGATTCAGATTAAAGTTTGAATTGACGGAGAAGACAAAGGCATTCATTGTAGCATCATAAATTAGTATAGTAAATAAGAAGAAGAAGAAGAAGCGTGGCCATAGAGTTAATAAGCAAAATATTCAAGGATATAATAGTGCACAAATTTTGGCTCACTCTTGTCGAAGTTAAGAAAATGGGGGGATTAGATATAGGGTGACACTTGAGACTATAGAGATCTAGTTCAAAGTGAGTAAAAGAGAACAAGTGACAAATTCTGATACATATAGGTAGAAGATAATGTGTCCATGACTCCATGTTTTCAGGTTGAAGAATTAAAGTAAATTAGATGGCTTGCCATCATAAAATGTTAGAAAGATAGTGGGTCAGCAATTTAGTAATTGGTCCTCCAATCTTATTTATGACTAAGGACTTTAGGACCTTACAATTATTTGTGTTTTTGGCAGGACTTTCCAGTAATTAAAATGCTTTTAAGGGATTATACAATAATTCTCCCTAGTAAATTTGCATTGTTTAAAATATATTTAAATAGTTAATTTATAAAAAATATTTAATAATAAATTATAATGTTCAAATTAAATCAGGATTGTCAAGATTAGTAATGAATATATTTATTAAAATTTTTTATAATTTTTAAAAACTTTAAATTAAATCTTGACAATTTAAATTAAACATGGACGATCCAAATTTTCTCTAGGGCATACTGAAGGAACATCGAGCTTGAATTGATGCGAAATTTTAATGAAATTGTGTTTAATAACTAATATATAATAAAGTAAAATGATTTATAAACATGAGTCTTAGGATTTTGAATTAAGATATAGTGTCATTTCATTACTCTTTGCCTATTTGTGCTCTTTTTTATTTTTCCATGTTTTTTGTCCATTTCTATCTAGTGATATTAGAGTTATGCTTTCTTCAAGACTTGAAAATTTTATATTTTGTATACGTTTAAAGCCCATAATAGCATTGACTTTGACTATAATAGGAATATAGTAGTTGTGGTTTTTTAATATAATGAAACTTGTAGACTTACGTTTGAAAACTACACATTCCTAATAAGTGGTATCAACATTAGGTTTTATCGACTCTACTTTGATACTGTTTGTTAGAAACGGATAAGAGTAACAATTTACCCCTTGTTGGAAGAAGCAAAATACTCTCATGTGTAATTAATTTTTTTTAGTGATAATATCCTCTAGAACTTATCTCATTTCTTATTTGAGGTCACATTTCATGCACTTGCTTGATGGAAAATGATAGTTGGCATTTATAGTCTTAAAAGCAACAAAATTGCCTAAGAGGCAAAGTTGTGCACCAGGAGCATTTTGGTCCAAAAATTTAAATTTTTGAAAAAATGTATAAAAAAAATTAGTTTAAATGTGTTTGTTGCTCAGGAGAATGAGTATACAATTATATTTTAAAAATTCAATTTGATTTAAAAGATATTAATTAAAAATCATAAAATTAGGGTTGTTGACCTAACTAGGATTTTGTGCATGTGTGTGTGCATGGTTTTACATGGGGCAGCCCTTACATTGCATTTTTATTATTTATATCCCATCTAAATAATTAATTTTATGTTCCTAAATATGAATTATTATATTACATGCATTTATTTAATTAATCTTGTTCATTATGTGACTTAGGTGACACATGTTACATATGAGGGCTTTTTCAATAAGCAATATTAAAGTTAAGTTTTGATGGCTTTGAAACCACTTCTTAGAAATGAGAAGTACATTTGAGTACTTCTCATTTTTAATAATTAGTATCAAAGTCAGGTTTTATTGATGTTGCTCTGATACCACTTGTTATGAATAAAAAAACTTATAGAATTAGATTTAAAAACTTATTATTAACAAGTGGCATCAGTTTTGTTGATGATAATATCGCTTATTATAATATAGAGCAACTGCTTAAAAAATAAAAAAAAAAATTGAATGAATGAAGAGTAACAACATGACATTACATATTAATCCAAACTTAAAGTTTAAGTTTATAAGTCTTTATTTTTTATTATATACTACTTTCATCCTAAATTATAAGATACTTTTGAGAGAAATTTGTCATCTTAAAATATAAGACACTTTGAGAAGATTAAGGTTTTATTAAATAGGCTTATTTCATCATTACCTTTTCCCTTTATCTATTTAATACTAATTAGGTGTGAATTTAAGGTTATTAAATAATAAGGTTATTAGGTGTATTTAATGAGGGTTATTGTTATGTGAATTTTATCTAAAAATATTTTATAATTTGAGACAAAGGGAATATTAGTTATTAAACTCAATTTTACTGTTACTTAGATAACCTAATATTATATAGTGAGAATTTCAATAGGACCTAGGATGAGATTTTATTTCAAATCAACCTAAGAAACTATGAAATTACTTTACAAGACTAATGGATTAAATTAAAATTATGTTTTGTAATGAAATAATCAAAATATCCATCAATTAATTTTTTTTAAAAAGAATATCTCTCTCCTTGGTCTCAATATCATCCCACAACCATCACTCTCTTTTTATTCTCCAAAACCATTCCTTTCTACAACCACCCTCTAATCCCATTCTAGTCTCGATTATTCCTCATTTCCACCAAGGTCTAAATGTCCCTTCAAGAAATAGGTTGATAATGAGCCTTAACATGAGGACAAAGAGCACCATCTTACTTGAGTATCAAGGTCTTATCAAATCATTATCACAATTTTAGGGCTCAACCTTGTTTCCCCACAGCCACTCTTGCATCTTTAGACCTTAAGCCTAGTTCAATAAACTTCATTGTTGTTGTTGTGGCCATTAGATTGAGGATGGAT